CACCCCATTTCTTTGGGATTTTTAAATAGAGGAAAGCCTAAAAAAACTGAAATGGTCTCCTACACAGATAAACCTTTGCTGATGGCACAAAGAAGTGAAATAATCATATGGTTCAAAAGTTAAAAAAACACTCTTTATGGTATTAAAGTTTCCTTCCTCTGCCCATCTACCCTCTCTTCTTTTCTCTCCTGTGATAATTACAGTTAACATTTATTATGTGTTTTACCATAAAAATGTGTAAAATATGATATAAGCCAGCATATAAAAGTTGAAATGGATTTATGTCTCTTTTCTATTTACATGGAGAAGTCCCAAGAAAACTGCTCTGAACCTTCTGAATCTAACTTTTGTCACTTAATGTATCGTAGAGATCTCACCCTAGGCAAGCCCTGGACCTACCTCATTTTTTGTAACTGCTGCATGGTGTTCTGTTGTCTGGAGGGTCCACTTGATTGTGCCAGTTCCTTGTTGATGTGCATTAAGACTTTCTCTTGAACTTTTTACTGTTCCAGTAAGACGGCTGTGACTCTCCTCATACACATATCTTTGGACACTTCTGCAAGAGGATGTGGACACTTCACATGTTGATGGTTCCCGCTAAATTGCTCTCCAAAAACTAAATTGGTTTTCACTAACTTAGAGACTCCACCAAAGCACTTGAATGTACCTGATTCTCTAGCAACCTTTTCTAGCTCTTGTCAATATGCTAGAAGAAAATATTTATCTCATTGTTTTGATTTGTATTTGATTATGGGTGAAGACGAAAATTAGTTTTAATTTACAGGCAGCCTGCAGTTTATCTGCCAACATCCCCCTCCCGTCCTTGGCCCTTTTTCTGTTTGGCTGTTGTGTTTTCCTTATGGGTTTATATAAGGTCTTTAGCTACATCCTCAGGCCTTCCCTGAGCCTCTGTCTAAAATAGGAGCTGAACCACGGAGCCTCACAACAGTGTGTTTAATCCTCTGCATAGGATTATGGGCGGATATTTTTCTCACTTGTTCATGGGCTTCCTTTTTTTTCCAGAATATAAACTCTTAAGAAGCAAGGACCTCATCTGTCTGTTCATTATCATATCCCTGTCACATAGATCTAAGCCTGCCTCATGATGAGCACTCAGATCTTGTTGAATGAACAAATGAAAGAATAATTGAATTAGCTTATGTGTGTCATAAACATTAAAAAAAATTTGGGGGGGGTTGTATTTTTTCCCAGTTGAAGCTTTGAATTTTTATGCAGCCAAATTTATTGATCCTTTTCCTTTATGATTTCTGGATCTCCTTCACTCCAAGTTTATAAATAAACTTACGTATGCCTCCTTTGATAACTTCTATGGTTCCATCTTTTAGGATCAAATCTTAGGCCTCTATAAAATTTATTTTAATGTAAAAATAAAGGATTGTGCTCTAATTTTTCTCACAATAGTTGGCTAGTCCATTATCATTCACTGAACCATCTCTCCTGCAAGGGTTGAACACAACTTATGGTCAGCTATGTTTCATGTGCTAGGTCTTTCCCTGGACTCAATCAAATTGTCTTAATTACTGCAGTTTCATGATATGTTTTGATATTTAGTGAAGCTGGTTTTCCCTCATGTCTTTTTTTTTTCTTTTTTTTAGGATTTTTTGAATTGCTATGATTGCATTTTATTTTTTCTAGATAAATTTCAGGATCATTTTTGCCAAGACTAAAAAAAATTACCTTAAAATTATTTTAAAGAAATATGTAGTAATATGCAGATGTTAAATATATGTGTTTCATAGTTTTTTACAACGATCTGTGTCTCCTGTCTAAAACTGATGAGTTTAGTTTGTTCAGAGTTCATGTTAGTAAACTTAGAATGGCTGGATATTGGAAGTTGCTCCTTGGAGAAATAGATTAACGCAGGTGAGAAAATCAGCATACTTTGACAAGAGAGATTTAGGTTTGAGCTTAGGTTAGTTATGCTTTGCTAAAACTTCTGAGTGTAAATAGGCCCTGTAACGCTGGATATGGCTGTTTATACTTGAGAATGATTAACTACTGACAAGTTATCCTTAATCTGAACCATCTCTTTTGGATGCATTTTGCAGGAGATTAGATACAAAACAAAACAAAACAAAACAAAACAGAACACAACAAAATAAAAAAACTAAGCTCTAGTCTTTATTTTGCTACTTACTAGTCATTTAGCTCTTGACAAAATACTTGGTCTCTGAGCCTCTGTTTCCTTATCTATAAAGCAGGCATAATAATTCTCACCCATTCATTCATCAAATAACATTTTATTTACCTGCCTACCTTTGAGAACTGTTGTGAGAATCAAGAGAGAGAATTCTGGTATAATTTTCGTTTGAAAATGTTAAGGTCTTCTGGTTAAAATTTGCTTATGTCTAGTCCCTCTCTCCCCAAGTTCCACTTAAAAAAAAAAAAGAGATAAAGGAAATGTTTTTGGAAAAAGGTAAGCCAGTAAGAAAAAAGAACAAACCAGGAGACTGCAGCAAAGGAACGATATCAGCAGAATTTTGGAAGCTGGAAAGTAGAGCAGAAAAAGGCAGAACTCACTTGCAAGAAATGCTAAGATGCAAGTTGAAGCAGTCCCAATGCAAGTCTGGAATTGGAGGCACCTGGTACCTCCGAGGGCTAGGGTTGGAAAGAGGATGACTTGGAAATCTGCATGAGTTACTGGAAGACCCCCAGAGCCCTTCCTCCATGGCACTGAAAGTTAAAAAAGAGTCATAAAGATGAGGGATGAGGATGGTGGGGTATCGGGAAAGGAAGCTGAAACTGAGATGGAGGGAGTAATCGAGATATAAATCTCCATAGTAGGAAGCCAAAAGAAAATACAATTTCAGAAAAAAATTAAGAAGCAGAAGAATATGCATACTTTTAAGAAGGAGATCAATTGACAGATAAAATCACACATAAAAATTGAAAGTGACTGTGGGGATGACGGGGAGGGCTGGAACTGCTTTTATTTTAGTATAAGTCTAGTAAAAGCAGTACTATTGTTTGGTAGACTTTTAAAACTATGTACACATACTATAGTGACAAAAATTAAAATGAAAGACTTTATGCCATTGTGGAAAAGTGACCCTCTGGTACAAAGCTCGACACCTTGGTGTTTAATAAATAGTTGAGAAATGGTTGAATGAATATTATTCAATTATTCAGAAAACTCTCTAATTTTCCCCTTGTCATTGGCGCTAGGTAGAAATTAGAATTAAATA